TAGTTTTTATTGCCCTAAACAGGTATTCTTATAATGAGCATGCCCTTCCATAGTTTAAAGCTGTAAATTGCTCTGTCTGATGTCTTTAATGCCATGCTGTGGAACATTCTAGGCAAAGCAGTAACATCCCCACAGTGACAAGCAGTTGGCAGACATTACACCAGGAAAGTTGCATATTGTAACTTTAATATCATACCGAAAATACGTAAAGAAAGCATAACATCTTGAAAAAATGCAATATCTATTTTCAAGATGATAATTTTTACCATAATTTGTCAAAACATAAAACAGAAGAGTACTTTTCACTCTTCTCTTGGGGAAAACTACCTTTTTTATTTTAACATATGTTTCGTCATTATCATAAATTTCAATTATAACCCTTCAAGTGGACTGTGATTGCATTACAGGATCTTGGCAGTGGTTCATTCCTCCATTGGTTTCACATCACAAAAATATGTTTCCGCTCCATCGCGAACGCTGTACATCCTTTTATGTGATGCTAAAATAGCTAAAGCATGTGTTCTCTGTGCAATATACCAGCTTTATAGAAATGCCTTTTTTGGAAGCTATGATTTCATATTTGCCATTTCCCCACTGCCAATAGAGAAGAAAGAGCCACAGGACAGATGGACAGGCTAATTTATTCAACGAAGCATCCACTAAAACCTCTACTTCTCTTCACACATGCTAAACAACTAATCAAGCATAACATTACGACCACCCTTCTTATCAACAGGGCCCATTTTCTTGAACGGTTTTTGATAGAAACTGACCACTGTAAACCAAGAATAACAGTTTTCTTATTTAGAGTCAGTCACCTGCCAGTTTAACAAAGCACTTGCTCGCACTGTGAAACAATATTGAGACAAAACTTGGACTAAACCAGGACTAAAGCAGGATTAGAAAAAAATGACTCTTAGAAGCTTTAAGCCATCTCATCAAAAACAAACTGGAGCTGTGTTTTGTTTCATTCACACATTATTCTGGATTATTAGGTTCTCCAAAGCCCAAAATGTTCCACTGTGATGTGATGTAGTGGTAGTTTTCAAATTACAGCTACTTTTTACTTTGAAATTAACTCTTGCCTCTCAACAAGAAGGTCATAAGTTTGATTCCCAGATTGTGTGGTTTGCATTATCACTCTCTTACAAAGTGTATTGCCTTATATAAAATGTTGCGCAGGAAGCCAGGTTTTATTGAAAGATCTTGCATATCTTGGGCTTACCTTGTTCCAGACAATATTTCCGTCTGGGTGTAACTCACGGCTGATTGACAAAGATAAAATTCTTCTTATCCACTAACCTCTACTCCAGAATATAAAGTATAAAGTAGCCCTGATATTAACCAGACTGGGTAGCATTGTGCAGTACTGTACTCCATGTTAATAGCCATGTTAATATGTTGTTTCCTCCTCAAAAACAGACCTGGAGTTGTGTTTTGTTTCATTCACACATTGAGTAACCCTTTATTATTGGTCTGTTTGCTCAAAATTGACAATCTCAAGGTGGAACATACTTAAAGTGGTTCTTTAAAGCTACATTTTACCCATTTTTCAGTAGAGATTGGAAATTCCAGGGTTGAAATCACTCTAATTATTCTTGTGAACGTGTATGGAGTTTAAACACTGGAACATAAGAGAACAATATGCAGGGTTTGTGAGTTAAACATGTGAATTAAATAAAAAACATGCCCAGGTATGGTTTTGATGAGGGACTGCTTAGGCTGCCTCTCTATCTTGCCACACGTTCTACTTTTACTTGGCTGTTGGAACTACTACATGTTTTTGATGTACTTTTTAATATTGCTTATTTATTATCGTTTTTGTCTCTCTTGGTCACTGGGCCTCGAGGAACACATTTCGTTCTGTCATGTGTTTCTCTCGCTGCTTGAATAACGAATAAAGAACCTTGAACCTTAAACCTTGAAACAACATTATAACAGATTAGAAAATAGTGTAATATGGACGCTTTAATGTATCTCATCTTTCAATATGGCTGGACTAACCCCTTTATTTGGTACTAGGCTTTCTAAATCTGTTTAGTAGAACATTACAAATTATAACTGTTATATGGTCTTGTTGTAAAGACCAAAATTAGATTAAAAAACATGTCAAATGTACAAAGCTCATTTGAAATTCAAATACTAGTCAATGCTGCCATTCTTTTAAATCTGAAAACATTCAAATCACTCTCTGGTTTGGAAACAGTACAGATGAATACAGTTGCTTAGTGCTGATCAAATTGTCTCTTGTTATTGTGTGGTACTACGGGGTCACAGAGGGTAACTGTGATAGGCTCTGATCAATGCCCTGTACTCACCACAAGCAAATCTGTCAATAATAATCAATAGGGTAATGCAGAAAGACTGGAGAAGTACCATTAAATATTTATGATTTTTGACATGAATCATCACAGCAACTGCATATCTGCAAATACATTTTAAAACAATGTCATAACCAAGAACGAAACCTGTATTAGCCACTGTAAACATGTACGAATGTAAGAATACTCAACAGGGATGTAACAATAACAGAAATATTCGTGATATCGTATCGTCAAAAGTCTCACAGTAATATCATGGACCATCACAATATATCGAATCACAAGCCTCTGTGCTTAAATGAATAGTTATGATGCAGCAATAGCCAAAAAAAAACAAAAACAAAAAAACAGAGGGAACTACATAGACCATGATCCTTTGCTCCATTTCAGTGCAGACTACATGAACGAATAGCTGTTATAAGCACTTTTAAGTCTTGTCAAGGCATTTTAAGAGGAAAATGTAGCATATTCATAGTTTTGTTCGACAAAATATCGCAATAAATATCGTACCGTGAGATGTAGATCGTGAAAATATTTTACTTACTTTTACTTATTTCCAAGACAGATGGTTAAAATACTAAAAAATAAGTATATCAACTGATTGGATTAGTGTAATATAATATCCCCAGTGTGACCTGATGTCCCAGTGATAAGCCTGACTGTTTTAACATGTGAAAGGTTAGAGACAGCTGAAGAATGGATTTAAAACTAACAGCGTTTACACAGCACGACATTTCACCATTTCAGTTATTTAAAGATGCACTGTGTAACTTTTCTGGAGGGGGATCTGCCAAATGCTTGCCAAATCTATCTCCATGGAGACAAGACAGTGATAGAACATACAGTAGGTCAGGAAGAATTAATGTTTATTATGTTTTATGAGCAATAAGAGCAGGTGTGAGTTAATAAATGCAAACCAGATATGTTTAATGCCATACTGTGGAACATTCCAGGCGAAGCAATGGCATCTTCTTCCACTAGAAAAGTTACAGAGTGAATGTTTAACCAATCTGTCTCACTTTACTCTGTTTTAAACTCAAATCCACTCCAATTTTCTAGCACATAAACCTAAATTACAAAATACCTTTTATTGTATATTATAACATCAAGAGTTGTTTGGTCAATACAACTCAACTAGTGATAAGTGAACAAAGTAAGTCCCTATCAAAAACGTATACTTTTCTACATATAGTTTCCCATTCAACATATTTTCAGTCGAAATGTTACATAGCTCATATTTTGTGTGTAATTCTCAGTGGAGGGGCAGGTTTTGGTGTTGAATGAGGCTATAGTTGGACACACGTGTTGGAGCCTGCCTAGTCCTGGAGGAGACTGAGCTGCCTTTTATCTGCCCCATCCATGGGTTTCAGAAAGATGAGAAATAAGGACCATTGTCATACTGATTGACAATTTAAAACTATAAATAAATATTGAAACTTTTGAACGGGAAAATTGCTGCATATAACGGGAAGCTGACACTCAAGAAGAGACAGCAGCAGTACCGACCGGGGAGGCTCTGCGTATTGCTAAGCACTAATACAGAACTCATATGACTTAATTTGATCAAATCTGTGTATGTTTATTCATAATCGCATGTGTTGTATTTGTATGTTGCAGAATTGCCCGTTTTACAATTAATTTGTGAACTGGAAAACATGAATTTCTCCTTTTCCATGGATTCTACCTGGACAACTGAGGCATTCTACATACATCTTGAAAATCATACTGACTTAATTGTGCAAACCAGTGTACCAAAAGACTGCAGCATTTTTCAGTGGTCACTTGCAAATCATAAATCAACAAAAATGCAACAGATTTTCTTACTTTATTTATAGAATCATTTGGGATCAATATAAATATAATTGTTAGATGTAAAGGTAATGCTTAAAACTGAATACTAATTAAGAAGTACGCATGTATTGTTCTCATAGTCCCAAAATGTAGTCATGTGTAGTGAATTATAACTGCAATTTCAAAATAAAAGTGTGATATGCCTTATAGCTTTACTGAAGGATAAGTAATTCACACAAATACAATTCTCTTAGCCTGACAGTAGTATGATTTCAAAATAAAAGCATGATCTTAAGCCTTATCTTTTTAACATACAACATGAAGCTCAGCAATCCAAACCACCCGCCCATCACATCGTCGCATATATTTGTCCATTACAACTGTGATTTCAAAATAGACGCATTCTCCAATATCTTTTATTAGGTGACTGTGCTTAAAGTTAAGCACTACCAAATGATCAACATAGTTCCCATATTATCACATGCAGTGACAATAGCAATAGCTTTCTATTGTAAGTGGAATTTCAAAATAAAAGTATGGCATTTTTCATTATCTCTCACAACCCACTGCATAAGCAATGACAAACTATGTATATAGTTCACATTTTTTCACATGCAGTAGCCCAACTTAAGTGCAATTTCAAAATAAAAGCATGATCTTATCCTTTTTATAACATACTACATCAGGATAAGCTGTGGCCAAAAATCTATATAGTTCCCATTCTGTGACATGTAGCAGTCAATTATCAGTGTAATTTCAAAATAAAAGCATGACTTTAGCGTTAACTTTTACAGCTCACTGCAGTGCATAAAGTCTTATATTGTCACATTCAGTCGTCCATTATAGTCCATTTCAAAATAAAAGCATGACTTTTAAACCATGTCTTACCTGGTGACAGCTCTCCTTCACTTTGCTCTCCTGAGTCTGAGTCCATCTTCTTAGTTCTCGTGGATTTCTCAGTCCCTTCTGGATTTTACTTTCCTAATTTTTTTGTATTTTCAAAGCTTTTTCTTGACTTTAAGCTGAAAAATAAGTTTGAATGTGCCTGTAAGTTGGAGTTGGATGTCCTTTTGTAGCGTAGGCAGAGGAATGGTTGCGCTGCCGATGTGCTCAGCTGTGCCTAGTCTTCTGTCTGACTCTTTCACCAGTCTGGATTTTAGCTCCGCCCCCTTCTCCATGTCACCACTCCCCCTCTCTCCCTCCCTCCCTCTTTCTCTCCCTCCCTTTCTCTCTCTCTCCTCTTCCTCTTAAAAGTCTTTCTTTCTCTGGCTCTCTCTGTATGCTATAAGTGATCCGACTCTGTTTCCAAAAGCCTAAGCTCACTAGTGCTGCAAAAAGGGCTGGAAAAAATATATAGTTCTTATGTTAGATTTTGACTAGAACTTTATTGATCTCCCAGGACAGTCACAGGTTTAGGAAAATATGCACGAAGTATAGCTAAAAATTCACTTAAGTACAATTATGGTCGCATAAATCTAATATTACACCAGTAGAAGTAAAAAAATAGAGCAAGTTTTTAGTGAACATACTACTCAAGTACTGTTTGAATATAGTATCCAATTTGGTGTAAATATAATCTGACAAACAAAACTTGCGTGTACTTCTGATCAATACACAGTTCAAACCCAAAACACAAATAACCTTTACCTTCTGAGTATTTTGAAAGAAATGTAAATATTTAAATAATGCAGTTACGAGGGTATTGAAGGGTGATCTTTATGGTGATCCAGTATAATTTTGTGTAATATTGTTGTGTCCTTGGGCAAAACAAATTCATGACATGTTGAATGTATGAAAAAAATATTAAGCTCTATTTTTCAGACACCATACTTTTACTCGTACTTGAATTATGTCTTATGTTTTAAGCGGGCAAAAACATGGGTCTAAATACTGTCTGTCTAAAGGTAATTTGAACAAAGTGTAAATGTTTAAATAATGCAGTTGTATAAGGGTTTATAAAAGGGTAATCATTACGGCTCGGAGTGGACGGAGTGGACAGAGGGAGGTTAATCTGTTGACACTGGAGTGGCTCTCAGCAGTAAATAGGTTTGTGTTACATCAGCTGTGAGAACTACCACTGCATTTGACTGAGGCTACTATAATTAGCCCGTATAATAGGTCTACAATAGAAATAATGCTGTCAGTTTGAGAAAGAGCAGTTGTATGAGAAGCGTGGTAAAGCTGCAGTGTGTAACTTTTTAGTGAGGGTTAGATTAACTTTGATCACCATTTCGATTTGTGTGTCAAATGATCTCCAAACTCATATAATCGAGTTGAAATGATTTATGTGTTTGGGTACATTTATGGTTTTCTATACCTTATGTCATGTTTATGTTTCATACATCGCAAAACTGCTATAAGGTTCATATTTGTAGCCTATATTTATTTTCAGTTTGAAAGTTTTGAGTAAATTATCATTAACAAAGTGTTTTTTAAGAGAGAGAAATGCTGAATAAATGCATTGTGTAACTAAAAAATATGAGTTTGAAAAATCATTATTTCAATATTGACCAAAATAATCATGATAACGATTGTTTCTATATTTAAGCAGCCCTAGGTTAGATACAGTAAATTAAATATGGTTAGACAGATAAATTTAAGCCATTAAGCCATACTGCGGAATATTCCAGGCAAAACAATAACATCTCTATGGAGACAAGCAAATGGTGGACCCTATCACAAAGTTACATCTTGTTTTTATAGCATCAGTAATTTTGAAGATATGTGAATGTGTGAACTATAGATGTTATTTAGGTAGATAAAATAAAATATAATGTAATGGCTGGTAAGGAGTTGTAGTTCTTCTATTATAGACATGTCAAACTCAGGCCTGGGGGTCAAATTTGGCCCTCAACAAAATTATATTTGGCCCGCGAGATTATATCAAATATGTATTAGAGTTATCCCGCCGGCTACAAGTAGGCCATAAAGACATTATTTATTTAAAATTTGTAATTATTTTACATTTTGCTTGTTCTGGATTCAATGTTTAAGCAAAACTATTATTAAACATTTATTTTAATAAGAAAAGGTTTAATATTACATGTCTGAAAAGAAGAGAAAACATGCAGATGTTGTTGAAATTGTTCAATAAATATTTAGTTTGGCCCATGACTTAGTCCCAGTTTTTAATTTTGGCCTCTGTGAAGTTGAGTTTGACACCCCTGTTCTATTAGGTTATATTCTCTTTTCATCTTAATTTATGATGATTATTCATGTTCTGATTTCTTTGTACTGTGAGTTTAATGTCTTTCTTATTCTGTTCTTATTCTGTAATTCACTTTGAATTACTGTATGAATTGTGCTATACAAATAAACTGGTCTTGCCTAGAAGACTAAGCTTCATGAATGGCTGTATGTGGGCCATGTGTTGTTCGATAATATTGTTCAAAAGTCAAATTAGCATTTTGTTTTGGAGTTGTCCCATAGTTCTGTTTGGGCCCATAACACTGAAGGTGAAAGGTCAAAGCTCTTTGTTTTCAAACCAAACCCGCGCGGCTTTGTCTGGCGCTTTACGGTGTCCACAAAGGTTATTTACGTTGTGTATACTGTTGAAATACTGTGATTATACATTTAAAAACAGACAAGTGTTTTTCAGGTAATGTGATGTGAGAGATCTAATACAGGCAATCATATTACATATCATGCACTCAGAATTAATAAATAAATGTTGACAATATATTTAAAGGTACATTATGTAACTTTTCTATAGTGGAAGGTCTGTCTCTTGCCTCCATGGTATTTTTAGCAATAAAAGCACACGTAGTTGAATAAATGGAATATGCATTTAAAGACCCTGTTTCTGATTTTTATATATATATATATATATATATATATATATATATATATATATATATATATATATATATATATATATATATATATATATATATATATATAAAATGTATCTTGTTTCAGTACTGATAATAGGGCTGAGTGTCATTACGAAGTTGCCGATACAATACAAACCTCAATACATTGGTCACAATACGATTCATATCTCAATACAGCATATTTCAAAACTATTCGATACGGTTCAATAAAAAATAAAGGCTAAATCATGTCTGTGATACTAAAAGTCTTCTTGTGGAAAGTTAACATGAAACATGCACATTTTTATTCTCAAAACAGTGAAAATGTCAAATGTGCATAAACAAGTTTCCTTCCTCTAAACAAGGAACAAAACTGTAGAGCTGTCACAAAATAATTTAGTAAAATATACCAAAAAATACTCTTATTAACAGCCCATGATATCGATACTGTATCATTACACTGAACAATATGCACACCCCTAACTGATAGTATATTGTATAAACAGTTCTTGAGGTCAAAATATGTCCACTGGATTCTGTCTGCGTCTAATTATAAAACATTTTATTGTCTGATCATTTGGAAGTGCGTGTTAACATGCTAGTTGCTGTTAACTTTATTGTCAAGGCAAAACTTTACTTTGGTCTCTGAGGCTACGTTTATATGATGACAGTCTGAACAGAAGACGCAAAAGTGGCATCACGTCTTCACTTTTTATTTTGCGTTTAGACAAGCGTTTTCATTAGGAAATCTGCGTGCATACGGTGATGCAAAAGTGTGTGGAAGAATTCAATTGGGTGGTGACGCTAGGTGACGATGTATATGTCGTAAACGTGTACACAACGTGAACAGATCTGACCAGAGTTTTGCATCTTGGGCAGTGTAGATGGAAGCACTACGGTGGAGCATATTCACCTTTTCCACTCTGGAGGGTGGTTTCAAATTTTTGCGTTTTTAAGCTCCGAAAACGCTGTCGGTGTTTAAATGAAAGGCACTTCCTATAAAATATTTTGTTGTTTTTACCTGCATGCGTTCTCATGTAAACAGGCCTTGAATGTTGTGAAAAGCGCTGAAAAAACTCATCTCGTCAATAATTACGATGTTTGAAACGCAAAAGGTAAGTGAGGAATAACTTTGGACCAATGCAAACCGTTTAAAATGAGCTATAGTTCTGTTTTCATGATGAATCTGTAAAAATCAGGTACAGCACCTTTAATGGTATACAGTGGAAAATTCTAGGCAAAGAAGTAACATCTCCAGACACATGCAGGTGGCAGATCCTCGATTAGAAAAGTTACACAGTGCACCTTTAAAGATTACAAGCAGAGCAGAGATTACATTATTTTAAGATTCTGTGATGCTACCCAGAAAGTAAAAGAAAAAACACACAAGACAAAATCATGAAGTAAATAGTTTCAGCTTCCTGTTGAAAGGCAACATTGTTTTGAGGAAGTTTGACAGTTCAACAGATAGACTATTGCATTTTGGATTCTTAATTGCTATGACAACAGTGGTAATTTTTCACCAAATCCAACAATGTAATATGTTTGTGTTTTTGTTTTGAGTTCATTCTAAACCCTGGCTCGCCTTATGGGTGCAGGTGCGACTCCGGCTGGTGGTCCGATGTCCCAGGTGTGGAGTGGACAGCCTCACAGCGGGACCCTGGGCTCCAGATGGCACCCTCCCCCCTGCCCACCCCTCCTGCCCCCCTCTGCCCCCCCGCCCCCGGTCTAAAGCCCAGAGTGCACCACCGCATATGTATTTGTGCCAATAATAACCTGACAACAGCCCGCAGAGCTGCTTTGATCTGAGCAATAAAAGCAGCCAGTGTTTGTGGATGAGAGACGCTCTATTGTGGAAACAGGGAAGAAGTCATCCGGGGTGTCAGCGCATGTCCAGGTTTACACAGGAGGGAAGGGGCTTTATTAAAAGTTATGAGAAATGTATTATTAAACTGGGGTGAAATATCATTCAAAATCAGTTCATTTCTCTCTATGTTAAAGTGTTTAGGAAAAGCCACAGGAATATCAAGTTTTTCCAAATGTGTTTTCAGTAAAATCTCAAGTCGAACATATTTCTTATACAATGAGTTGGCAATTGTTCAGTTTCTCCAGCAGCTCAAAGTAGGTCATACAATCCTTGCTTTTATATTGTGTAATGTTGCTGAGCCCTTGGGCAAAACAAACTTGTATCCAAAAATGTTCATTTTGTCTTCTTATGTACTTTAACTTGTTGGATTCTTTTTAAAGACAATAAAGTGTATTTAGTGTATTTACCCTGTTGACATGTTTCG